TGGCCATATTTGACATCTGTCTGTTAAATTCACAAATCTGTCCTTGAATCAGCCCGCAATGTTCTCCCTGCTGAAGCCTGTCAGCTGCTGCTGTTCCCCTTTGCACCGTAGGCCGTAGCTGCTACAACTATTAAGGTCCCACTTTCTCCAGTCTGTAGGAGCAGTGCTTCCATGGCATGCACAAAGTTGATGGTATTGTGGTAAAAATGTGAAGTCTATACCCATATTGCACATAGTAAAATATATATGCAACACTGTTATTGAAGAGATGCTAAGTAAGTGCCATTTCTGTGCTATGCGTAAATGCTTTTTGCACACATTATTTTGCATCTAACATTTTGAAAAAAAAAATGCCGCTTGCTTTTTTTTTTCCTCAGCTCTACTGACTTTTCAGAGCCTGAACATAGTTCGGATTAATTCTTGCCGTAGTTTTGCTAAAAACCTCAGTGGTGACAGCAGATCAACACGAAGGATCCTTTTTACTTGTCAGATAAGAATCTGAAGTTTGACCAATACATACAAAAATTTGCCATTTTAATTTTGTTATCTTGAGGAGCTCAGCATAGGATTCCCTTTAAAAAAGGCACACCCGCAATGCCGTAGGGGAAGGTGCCATTGAATGGAGTCAGACGTCAAACACGGAAGGTTGTTCGATCTTAAAAAGTCCATGCTGGGGTATGAACATCAAGCATCCCATGTTAGTGTGCATCGCTGGACTAACAAAAATACAGTATTTTCTCTCTGGTTCTGAAATAGGAGACTGCATGTTGTTGTCAATGCCAGAAAGAACAGAGACTAGATTTTGGTTTAAATCATATATATTTAAAGGCTTTTTTTCCCCAGATGTACGTATTAATTGGGAAACAAACTGAGGGGGGGGAACAACTTTGAAATAAACCAGATTCCTAATGGAATAAGAAAAGTCCCTCCAGTGCATTTTCTCCCTCTGTGTCAGCTTTTATAGTTCTGTTTCTGGCACGCATCTTTTGAGATTTCTTTAAAGATTGTTAAGAAATTTTCTCTTACATCAACAAACAATTTTCAGAGCCCGAGCAAAGCTTTAATAAAAAGCATCTTGCACAGAAGGTTGGTAATCAGGGAGGGAAAGGGGCAAAAGAGGTTGTAGGGAGGGAATCACAGGGCTGCTTTGTGATTTGTTTTTTACTTTCTAAGATCACCAAAACGTAAAGTTGCATTTCAAGCTTGTAAACAATTGGGTGTTTTTCAGGAAAAGAAATGCTTGTATAGGGCATGTGTGTGTAAAGGTATGTATTGAGAACTGCAGTCAGTACCTTCGTTTGCACTTGTGGGGTTGTGTTTATTAATGTCTCACTCTCATTAAGTTGCCCTGGCTCAGACGGACTCAGCCTGTTAGCTAGCACTCAGTAAACGGTGAAGAACAAAATTTGAAGGAAACCCTTAGAGGTTCAGATAGTGCTGTAGGAAGCCCCTCCCAACAATACTTGAAAAGCCTGGAATAGGTACAGTAGACCAAGTGTTCTGCTGAAGCTTTAAATGCTAGCAAAAAGCTTTCCAAGTTTTTACTGGCAAAAAGCTCCTGGACTCACCTGCTGTTTTTTTTCTTTTCCCCTTAGGGGTGTACAACGAACAGTAAGCGGGAATACCTCTGTACAGAGTTCAGCTGAGCTACCAGCAAAATTCCTGCCTGAGAGCATATTGCGTTACAGGCTCAGCAGACCAGTAATGCTCTCTTGACTCTCTTATTTAAACATAATGACAACACTACAGTCTTTTTCCAAAATACTTTGGCATGGAGAGACAGGGCGCGTGTGTATGTATGTGTATGTGTCTGTCTGGAAGTCCGTGCCCCAAAGGTGGAGGGAGCAAGTTTCACATGATGGACCTTCAGGATTGAAGGTAAAGGAAATACAGGATGCACATCTGGAACTGCTATACTAATGAGAGAATTAAAGAGAGCATGAAGCAAGCACGGAGCACACCCATAAAACAGAAGGTCAAACCTTTTTTAACTCTAGGTCTAAGTTAAAAACCACATTTTGGTAATTCATTATGCACCCAGAATGTCTAAGGTATTGATTATTCACAGAGCGCACTGGCGTGATGAAGGAATGCCACATTTGATCCAAAAGGAGAGGAGATGAACCATATTAGCTTGGTGCTTTGATCGCCAGGGGAGGGGGGGAGAATCATGGAGTATTAAATGCTTTTTTATACTTAAGTAGGAATGGAGAGTAGGGAAGAATGTAACCCTGCAGAGATTTTTAGGTGTTTTCAACAATAACTATCTAAAAGTGTATGTTTTCAAAATATGCTGGGAGACTGTCTTACAGGAGGTAATCATTCCCACAGTACTAAAAATTGTTTATAGCAGATGTTAAAATATTAAACTTTTTGATTTTAGTTCCATCTTTTTTTTGGTTGTAGAAACAAGTATTTGTTCTCTGGGTTTTATTTATATCATTTTGGTTTCCCTTTCTGTGCTGGTTTGTATAAAAACAAACAAACAACAAACAAACAAACAAAAAGCCCAAAGCAAATGAAAAAGTAAAAGGAAAGGAGAGGAATTCACAATACCAGAAATATGCAGTAGATACATCCAGTACTTGAAATAAATGTGTATTCTTTTATACTAGAAGCATCCTTGTCTTAAAATCTCAAGAAAAGAGCAAGAAGTAAAGGCTCCAAGTCTGCCACATCTTCTGCACATGTTTAATTTCAGGCACTGTCGTTGGTTTTGGTGGTAATGTGAGGGAGGTCAAACATATGGTAAGTCCTTGCAAAAATTAATCTAGGGGGCTGTTGCCTAAGTGGTCTGTGGAGTCAGTGCTTGTCTGCGGGAGTCTGGCTGCTGCTGGTGTTTCGGGTTTTTTCTCTCCAGCTGTAAATCTCATTTTTAAAACACCAGAGTATACCAGATGCTTTCCAAATAACACTCCTCGATGCAATTATTTGCAATAGCTGCCAGGGGGGTATGTGGAGATCTCAAAGGGGAGCAGAGTGTCTGCAAAACCCACTCTGCATTAAGATACGGTTCTTGCTCAAAAATACAGAAAAACCTGCGTTAGGTCCATGTAGTCATAGCATAGACTCAGATGCCTTGAAGAAAATGCTTTTCTTGTCACTTGCTGAAATACTGAGTTTCTGTCTAAGTAAAACAGGATTCAGAAGGGGAAGGAACTGGGTAGTGTAGGTTTTTCCTTCACAGCATGAGATGATGATTTTGATTTCTCTGCAACTGAACTGGGTGATCTTGGGCCAGCTGCTGGACTTTGTATCTTGGGCTCTTCAGCTACGTATCTGTGCCTGTCTGCCTTGCAGACACCCTGTGAAAATGCAGGCCTGTAGTTGCTACTGTTGTGGCTAGTGAGATCAGAGCGTGCCTGTGCTGGGCTTGATGGGGAAAGTCACGTGTAATACTGATCAAATTAATCTAAAACGTACTTAATTTTAAAACTCTGCCTAAACCCAGATTTGGGCAGGTTTGTTGAATGCATTTCTGGCTCTACTCTGCTTAGCCCGTATCTATGCTGTCACAGTCACAAACCTGTAGAGTCAGTGTTGCTTAAGGAAGTAGCTTTACACGCTTCCCTGAAATGTCTGAACACTGAAGTGATAGCAGAAGAGGTAACATGGAGGAAAGCCTGTCACTCTAAAACCACTGTTCTTACTCCATTTGTGATATTTGTTATTCTACTGGGCACTGAAGTGTGGTTCCTGTATTCATCTCTGGATGGTGCTTTCCTTCGTAAGGCATTTCTGTTGAGATCAGTACTGAGAGGTCAGAGATGGAAGGCGTGTGCTCAGCAGCAGCATTCATCTCTCATACACTGGCTGCATCTTGTGTAGCTTACTGCTGAAATATCTCAGGGTCTCTAAATGTATTGCCCATTTCATCTGCTTAACTATCAAAATTATATCTTAGTTGTCTTCCAGTCTTCTACTTGCTTTGCTTGGAGAGCTGGGAGCAGGAGTGGAAATGACTCATAGGCAGCATTGTCAGCACAGAGGGAAAACAGTTGAAATAATCTTACAGCAAAGGCAACATTTCTTCATAGCTCAGGCCCCTTATTTTTGTGCCTGCTTTTGACAGTAAAGTGAAATAAAGAAGGTAAAGAAGTAGCAAATTATTTTGTGTGGGGTTTTTTGGGGTTGACTGCTTCCAACATGACAGCCCTAGCTGAAAGAGAGTGTAAATGTTGTGCAACAGCTCTGTAACAAGCTTCCAGGCATGCTGTTTCTTCGCCACTTACTTTTCCGGGCTTCTTTTTTCAAATCCAACTGAAGTTCACGTTTGTCCATTGGAAGGGAGTGCTTTCTGTGTGCAGATGAAGAGGCACAGTTAACCCCCTTTCAAGAAGTAGTTACTGGGCTCTTGGTTGAACTGCGGAGTCCCAGTTTGCATGAATGAAAAATGACCATCTTTAATGGAAGAAGATAAGTGTATGGGGTTGTGTTTTTCCCCTTTGCCCAGGTTTGGCAAAGAAAGTAGTATTTGTGAGCTCTTCTTTGACCTCCCACTGAATGGCTGAAGGAGCTGAGAGGTGAAGAACCACAGTATTCCACCCCTAACAGCCCACAGCTGCCTAGGTAGTGCCAAGGTTATGGGCACTTATTCTGTCAAAAAAGTCTGCGACTCAAACGTACTCATTTCTTGCAGTGTTTAGTTGAGAGTATGAAGAATTAAAAACCCTGGACTTTTACTACTGTCTCCTCTTCATTACAGGGCTCAGACCTGCAGCCCTTCCTTTGCTAGCACGGCTTTGACAACGCAGCTAGGGCTGCATCTCTGTCATGTACCCAACACTAAGGTGAACAGTGTTTTCAGAGTATACTTTAAAACAGATTTTGAAATATGTATGTCCTCACTCTCAGTGGTAAAAATGACTGCTTAATCCCCAACAAACCCCAAAGCCCATCACGTTCCATTAACAGATGGGCTAGCAGTGTGCTGTGCTGCACAGAGAGCTCTGCCTCCGCCCACCGCTTACCGAAATCATGTGTTTTGTCTTCCAGACTCCGACCTGAGCATGCGAACACTCAGCACACCCAGTCCAGCATTAATATTTCCACCGAATTCCCCTGGTTTCCAGAATGGCAGAGGGTCGTCGACATCTTCATCCTCAGTCACTGGGGAAACTGTTGCCATGGTCCACTCGCCGCCTCCAACCCGTCTCACTCACCCTCTCATCCGGCTGGCGTCCAAGCACCAGAAGGAACAAGCCAACATAGACCGGCTGCCTGACCACTCCATGATCCAGATTTTCTCCTTCCTGCCCACCAACCAGCTGTGCCGCTGTGCCCGTGTGTGCCGCCGTTGGTATAACCTTGCCTGGGACCCCCGACTTTGGAGGACTATTCGCCTGACCGGCGAGACAATCAACGTAGACAGGGCTCTTAAAGTGCTGACCCGGAGGCTTTGTCAGGATACACCCAACGTATGTCTCATGTTGGAGACGGTAATTGTTAGTGGCTGCAGGCGGCTCACAGACAGAGGACTCTACACCATTGCCCAGTGCTGTCCAGAACTGAGGAGGCTGGAGGTGTCTGGCTGTTACAATATCTCCAATGAGGCGGTCTTTGATGTCGTGTCACTGTGCCCAAACCTGGAACACCTGGATGTGTCAGGTAACAGGAAATATTTCAATACGTGTCTGGTTCTAAAGGCCTCATGCTCATCAAACCCTTGATGACAAACGCCTTGACTCCTTGACCTTGGCCCCACAACTGCATGCTTTCCCTTTCTGTGTTGTCTTTCGAAGTGGGAATGCCAGTCTCCTGACACAGTACTGGTGAGACAGGTGCCGCTGGAATCTCAATGCCCCAAATGCCAGCAGCACCTCTTGAGTAGCCGGGCTTCCTCCAGTGGAGACAAGCTAGCAGAGGTGGCCCATTCAAATAGCACAAGTACTTTGTATAGAGTTTTGGACAAAGCACCCTTACAAGGGCCCATCTTGCAGCCAGTGCTACATCATATGGTGAAGCCTACTTAATTCAGCAACTTTTTCATATATATATATATACACACACACACACACACATATATAAAAAACTTATATGTAGATTATATATATAATGTATATGTCTGTAAATCTGATAAGTGATTTGAGGAGGAGCTCAGAATCAGTGCAAGGCTTTTGTCTGGGTATAAATACCAATTTTCATCCCTAGCTAAACTTCAAGATCCCCTTATTTCCATTGCTATTTTAATGAGACTTAGCTGGCTTGGACTTTTTGTTTTTTTAAATAGCGTATATGTTTGCTTAGTGGCATTGTGCTTTTCCTTTCACCCAGTTACAATGTATCACTGCAGCTGTTTAGATCAGCAGAGATGTTTTAGACAATTTCCTCAGACCCGCTCTGGGGAAACAAGATGTTTTTTGCCAAGGTCAGCCATACAGAATTTCCTCTCTGCAAATAGATTGGCACTTAATGGAAAGGATGTAGTCAAGCAGAGCACTGAGGTAAATTTGATGTTCAATACTTATTTTGTGATCTCACTTGTTATCGGTCTAATGCTGTTATTAATCAGCCAGACCAGATTTGCCATTGCAGAGGTACTAATGACACCAAGCAGGACGAACTGGGGATAGGAAGCGATGCTATTGAGTCGCACGTACCCAGATAAACTGATTTTTCCAAGGCTGCCTATCAGTGTATACACTGATTTTCTGTCTTTTTTCTGCCTTTTTTTTTTTTTTAACTGATTTATCCAGCTCTTTCACCTAATATTCCTAGAACAGCAGAATGTCATGGAAGGCATCAAAACAAATAGCATCAAATCAGAATTATTCACTTTTTGTGATTTCTCTCTGAAACTGCCAGGTGATAAGGAGTGTCTGCGGGACTCCATGGGAGTCCCGTCCCATGGAGTCTATTCGCAGTGACCTTGCATGAGAATTACTTATTGTCGGTATGTGCTGACATTAGTTCTGGATTGCTAACCACACATCCAGGTTGAAGCATCTTCCGCACCAGGAGAAAATCTATGTGCCTGTGTGATCTAGACCTAGAGCTACATATCACTTTGAAGGCTGTCTGTAACCCTGGCATATTTGTGTTTCTCTTACTACATCCATTAGGGTGGTATGGAGAATTGAGTGGCCCAAGTATCCCGGGCTTGGAGAGACAGGGCAAGTAGAATTACTGAGCTGAGGGTGAACTGTCTTGGCACACCAGTCTGTTAGCTGACACCCTGAGTGCACCTGCGGGCTTGTAGGTGACTGAAAATGCTTTGGTCCACAGCTCCTACTGATATATATGCTGTAGACTGAAGGTGACTTTTTCAAAAGCAGAGAAAATGAAAGGATCATACCAGGTCTTGAAACAGGTTCTTTTGGAGTCTGTCTTGATTTGTGGTTTTCCCAAGCCTGTTACGTTCAGACTTAGAAGGTGGTGTCTGCCCCTAAGAGCTCATCGTAGAACCATAGAATCATAGAATAGTTTGGGTTGGAAAGAACCTTCAAAGGTCATCTAGTCCAATCCTCCTGCAGTGAGCAGGGACATCTTCAACTAGATCAGATTGCTCAGAGCCCTGTCGAACCTGACCACGAATGTTTCCAGGGATGGAGCATCTACCACCTCTCTGGGCAACCTGTGCCAGTGTTTCATCACCTTCATTGTGAAAAAAATTCTTCTTTCTCTCTAGTCTAAATCTGCCCTCATTTAGTTTAAAACCTTCACTCCTTGTCCTATCACTACAGACCCTGCTAAAAAGTCTGTCCCCATCTTTCTTATAAGGCCCCTTTAAGTACTGGAAGGCTGCAATAAGGTCTCCCCAGAGCCTTCTCTTCTCCAGGCTGAACAACCCCAACTCTCTCAGTCTGTTCATACAGGAGAGGTGTTCCAGCCCTCTGAGCATTTTGGTGGCCTTCTCTGGACCCGCTCCAACAGGTAAATGTCTTTCCTGTGCTGAGGGCTCAGAGCTGGATGCAGGACTCCAGGTGGGGTCTCACCAGAGCAGAGCAGAGGGGCAGAATCCCCTCCCTCCACCTGCTGGCCACGCTGCTTTGGATGCAGCCCAGGATATGGTTGGCCTTCTGGGCTGTGAGAGCACACTGCCAGATCATGTGCAGCTTTTCATCCACCAGTGCCCCCAAGTCCTTATCATCGGCAGGGCTGCTCTCAAACCCTTCATCATCCAGCCTGTAAGTTTGGTCCAAAGTATGTAGAGAGTGAGTAAAATACCAGTCTTTGAATTTTGTCTTGACAACAGGACAGGAAAGTAATTTTAATCTCACATTTTTCTAAGTCGTCTTTTCTTTTTGAAGTATCCTGGTTTTGAACATGCTCAGAAGTCAGGGTGTCTGGGTTCAGACATGGCTTTTGCCTCCATATGAATTGAGGGTAACTGATCTCTGGAGTCTTGTTTTGAGACCACATTTTTCATTCTGATGTGGGTAATTTTGGAGGATATTTTGGAGGCAGGATTCCATTTTCTCCTCCTTCTGTCTGTAGTTAGGAGGACAAGGCTTGCACCTACACTCTCAAGCAATTCTCAGGACTGAAGTGGTTCACTGGTTTGGTTTCATACTGAGCAAGAGAAGTTGGGTACATGTGCTGGGGGATAACGCTGTACTTGTAGCTAGTTAATTAAAACCCAGTTCACAGTTGTACATCTAGTTGAATCCCTCTCCCCCTTGGATGGTTACTTGGCAGCAATAACGTACCAAAGTCTTTAATGTCAAAACCAGATGTTCATATTAACTTTAAGAGTTTTCCACAATGTAAGTTCTGTTACTCTCAGCATCCACTTTGTGGGCAGGTCTGAGATATCTCTAGAAGTTGGTTGAGCTTGACTGCAAGTTATTATCTAACACGCTAGCCAACATTTTTTCAATCTGTTTGGAAGTTTCTCCTCCCTTTTAAAAATCAGTTATACTAACTTTATGGAAAATCCTGTTACAAGAGCTTTGTTTTTACATTTTTTATTATTTAGGACAGCAAAATTGTTGCAGACCCAGGAACCTGTCATTTTGCCTAAAAATCGAGCAGTTCTATATCAACATGGACTCTTTTTCTGGTGAAACCATTTTGAATATCCTTCCCATGAAATATTTTACAATGTAGCCAAAGTAACTAGACAAGGCAATGCTGAGCTTGTCAAAACAGTGATTACACACCGATGTATGTGACTGCAACCCTGCTGTGAGACTCCTGACCCATTCACTTTCTAATTGTGGTCATTAAAGTATTCCTTTTTCTTGGATCCTCAGCAGATAGAACGTTCTCCTCAGCCTCGTGGACCCTTCATTCTCACTTAGTCAGATTTTAAAATTGAATTCTGGCAGCATGTAAAATATCCAGACTGACTCCTTAATCCAGCAACTTCCTCAGGCAAACACAATAGTGACAGCTACGTCAGGTCAGCAGAACTCTGCCTAGGTGTCAGCTTCTTCTGTGGAAACCCAGCTCAAGGATGGGGACTCCTGTGGTGCGTTTTGTATCACCTACTCCAAAGAACATAATTAATATTGTACTGCTTCCCTTTAGCAAAATCACTTTGCATTATTTGAAAGGAAACATATTTCCAAGGATTGCACTGTAACATACATGGGTCTGCAACACAGTCTGAAGAGGAAATAGCAGCATTCAGTTTTAAGAGGATGTTGTTCATTGAACAAAGTGCTTTGCTTCAAGGTCCCAGAGCTTCTGTATGACCTGTGGACAATTTGCCCATTTCATTTGTGTGACGCCTAAGGTAAAATTTGCATCTGTTCAAATAAATTTGAAGCCTAAATTAAAAATCCAGCTGCAAATTCAAATGATTAATGTAGAAATCACATGGCAGGTAGCAAACTGTTTCAAGTCCATATACCATGCTTCTTACAGCATTTGTGTGAGCCCACTGGATTATCTCAAAGGATATTTTTCCCTTTTGTTTTTAAGAACTGAAGCATATTCACACCCTCCACTTAGGCTCTGAACCTGTTGTATGAAGTGGTATGGGTTTGGGTCATTCAAGTTTTTGAGGTGGTCTCCATGAATTGTCATGCTCTTTACTTCCAGACTGCAGGATTTGTGCAACATATCTGATACGTGGAGTTCTAAGGTTGTCATCCTAACTTTTCTGGTGTTTCACGGGTTACGTTATCCCTGTTGGCCAGTGTTTCAGCGATACGAAAACACTCTTTTTATCCCTACCTGAGGGCACCTCTTTAGGCATAAGCTGCAGAATTTGTCTGAGTAGACATTCACAGCTAAAACTGTTGGGCCTTGACTGCTAACAGGTAGACCCTCCCTTCTTCCTTGCAGCTCTTTCTAGCTATGTTAATGCAATGTGCCCAGCTGAACTTGGCACAGATAAGAATTTCCCTTCAGGAGCCCGAGACTGCCAGTTTGCAGTGCAGCAGAAACAGCACCTTCCAAAAAAAAAGCTTTCATTCACCATCATGCACAGAGTGGAGGTTAAAAATGGCAGAAGTCTATGAGTGTATTTTTCCATTTAATCTAGCTCTTTATCTTTCCTGGCAAGGTCTGATGTTTCTCCTCTAGTGTAGTTACCTCCATCCATGGCCAGAGCTTCTCACTTGAAACAGTCTTTTTCTGCGACTGTCCATGTCCTCCCATGCCCTTACCAGTCTATTGGCTCCTGCTGACTCTCCCCATTTTCCTTAGGTTACCCGAATCTCCACCCTTCTGCAAGCACATAGTCTTGCCATAGTTTTGCATCCTTCCCACATTGCAGACTTAGGGCTGGATTCACATCTGTTCTCCAAATGCTTTTTCGAGGGTGGGTAGGGTTTGTCTTTTTTATTATGGGGTTGGATGGTGAAAGAGCCTCTGATGTTAGTTTACAAACTCAGCCAGTCAGCAAGGAGACTGCCTCTGATCAAAAAGCTGTGTTGGTTGTCATGTAGTACCATTTTCTCAAATTGTCACTGGGTTTCTATTGGAGTAACAGAACATAGCCTGTCCCTAGATAAACCTATGACTGTCGTTTTACATTTGGGATATGGACAAGATCGGTGTGTTGCTTTGCTGGTGCTCAAAATCCCAAAGCAATCTCACTGACTCCAGTGGAGTTTATTATTTCCTCTGATGTAGGATCACATCACAACAAATCCAGACTAGTCAGTCAGGATGATTCTGCTCTTGCAGCACGAAGATATCTTCCTCATATCCAGCATGCGATTTCAGGCCCACCTTTCTGGTCTTGCTGTGTGATTCGGTTTTATTGCTTGCTTACGTTTGCTGTGTTTTTCCACTTAGGCTGCTCCAAAGTAACATGCATCAGTTTGACTCGTGAAGCCTCCATCAAGCTGTCTCCCTTACATGGGAAACAAATCTCCATTCGCTACTTGGACATGACAGACTGCTTTGTCCTGGAGGACGAAGGACTGCACACCATTGCCGCTCACTGCACTCAACTGACCCACCTGTACCTGCGCCGCTGTGTCCGCATCACTGACGAGGGTCTCCGCTACCTGATGATTTACTGCACATCCATTAAGGAACTGAGCGTGAGTGACTGTCGCTTTGTCAGTGACTTCGGCATGCGGGAGATTGCCAAGCTGGAGTCGCGCCTCCGATACCTTAGCATCGCTCACTGCGGCCGGATCACAGACGTGGGCATCCGTTACATAGCCAAATACTGCAGCAAGCTGCGCTACCTCAACGCGCGGGGCTGCGAGGGCATCACGGACCATGGCGTGGAGTACCTCGCCAAAAATTGCACAAAACTCAAATCACTAGATATTGGCAAGTGCCCTCTGGTCTCAGACACCGGCCTGGAGTTTCTAGCCCTCAACTGCTTCAACCTGAAGCGCCTGAGCCTGAAATCATGTGAGAGCATCACTGGGCAGGGCCTGCAGATTGTAGCTGCCAACTGTTTTGACCTGCAGATGTTGAATGTGCAGGACTGCGATGTCTCTGTGGATGCTCTGCGATTTGTTAAACGACATTGCAAGCGCTGTATTATAGAGCACACCAACCCTGCCTTCTTCTGAAAGGACACCCCCACCTGTCGTTACAATGCAGTATTAAAAACACTGATGTATAAACACACGCTCCCATATTCAGTAATGCTGTCTTTTCTATAGCTCACGGGAGTCAGCTTTTCTTGTATGTTGTGGGTGAGGGGGGTTTCTAGAGGACTATTTTGTTTGCTTTCTGTATGACCACTTTTTAAGGTGCAGTGGGTCTCCGTGGAGAGGCTGCTTTAATGCAAAAGCAATGAGTGCTCAGCATCCCCAGTGGGGTGCCATTTCCGTAACAGCCATGATCTTGTCCCAGGCTACAGTAGCTACCTCCAAAGGAAATAGCACATAATCCCTCCTTTGGAAATGCTACTAAGCTGTGTCAAATACATCTGAATTCCAGCTGTGCTCATGAAGCTGACTATGCAATATGTGTCTGTGTTCCCCAACCTCTTCCAGTAAGGCTGATAAAGCATCCCCTTGTCTCCAAGTAGTTTCTCTTTGGTAGTTGTCCATTGTAATCCCTCAGGAAATACTGGGTAATGCTCTTAAATGTACTTGATTGAGCAGAATAAGACCTGCTGGCCATTGCCGAGCACTCTGCTGAGTGAATCTGGAGATTGTGCCCGTGCACGGGTTTCTCTTGGAAAGCCCACCTCCAGGTCACTCGTGCATCATCACTACTTGCCTTCATTTCTAAATCTGCCCTCTCCTGCATGTGTAGTGCCACTCTCTGGTAGCAGATAGGGAATTCTGGGTCTGATAAGCAGTGACATAGTCACCCAAGTGAAGGAAAACAAATGAGAGATTGGTGGCCTGGCAAATGAAAAAGCCAACATATCTGCCTAAGAAGCTGCTGTAGTTCTGCAACAAGCTGACATAGCACTGTAGTACACCGGGGACTCTCTGAGGCGTTGTGGAGCAGCTTCCATGGGGCAGTCCCAATTGCTGTCCTGCGCTGCTGTCACCAGAAAGTCTGTCTTTGCTCCTTCACTGTATCTCTTCAGCAGCTGTGGCACCATTGCAGTTGACATTCCCTGAGCAAACCAGGCACGTGTAAATTCAGTCTGTGCCTTAATACCCATAGAAACGCAACCCTTTTCTGTGGCCTTCCACTTCAAAGGAGAGATGGCTGATCTCGAGACTTCAAAGACGTTAGCCTGATGTTAGATAACACCCCTGGGGACAGAGGGGCTTAGAGTGTTATTCACATTAGATTTAGATTTTGTGAAACCTTGTCTGTGTGTGTTCCCTTAGGCTGGAGAAACAACTGCTGTTCAACAAGGAATTAAAATGCCAGCGTTGCCCTGTGACACTGGGAGCCCCTTGTACTCCCACGGTCACTCTTGCTCATGCAAGAGTAAGAGTGGTTTGTTGGTTCCCCCATCTCATTGCCTCCTTCTCCAGAGCGTGTGGTCATTTCATGGTTACTTTCTTCACAAATTTCTGGCAGCCATTTCTCTGCATTTTCACATGTAATGCTTAGATCGGAAAGCCAGACACGTTAGGGGTGATGATATTTTCAGGCAGGCCCCCTGCGCCTGACTGACAGGTGAATTCATACGTTCAGCTCAAACGCTATAAATGTCTCGGTAGAGAACATAAGAAGGGAAGCACCGTGTCTGGTTTTCATAAGCAGTAGTTCCATCATCTCCAGACAACAGTAATAAAATCATTGATATGAAGTGAAAATCCATATGCTCGAGAAAAATTCATAACGGCTGAGGAAATACTTGCAGCAATGCTCTCTCAAATTACAAAAAAGCAATGGTTTGGACACGTCCCTGCAGAAGGAACTTGTCCTACTGCTGCAAAAAGTCCGGTAACTTATGTACGTTCCTCCAATTTTGAGTTTCTTAACATATAAGATGTCATCAGCTCTGAATTATAAATCACATTGTACTAAAGCAGAGGGCCATGAAAAATGAACTTGTCATTGCTACTATTACTGGTCAGTGACTAATAGGGGGTGATACCATCCTTTGGCCGGTTGATATCACTTTGGTTTTCGTTTCTGTATTTTTAAAATTAGAGATTCTTCTCCAGCAAGTAGATCAGTATATTTTATCCGAGCCAGCTATACTCTCTGTTTTATCCTTTATCTCAAAATGGCCCTGAGGATAGTTAAACATTAAGCCCATTCCCAAGGATGGTGGGATTTTGAGCCATTTGCACTCATGAAATATAAGGCCTCATTAGTAACATTTAACTGTTTATTAAAAAAAAAAAAAAAGAAGCTACTTTTCTGGCTATGCTAAATTGAGTGAATAGTGTTACATGATTTTTAAGGTTTCTAATGTTTAAATTGGCCTGTACTGTACAAATCTCACTATAAAGCCTTAATTTGCTACCGAGAAATAAAGCAATATATTGGTAACTGATGAGCGTGCATCGTCATTTGCACTAGTTAAATTACTTGTAAAACTTTTCTTGAAAGGTAGGTAAGTGAATGAGCACATCAGTACATCAGGTAGGTGGATGACTATATTAAAAATGGAAAGAAAAAATTGTTATAGATTATGACCTTGCCTATCTGTCTCTTTAAAATTTGATTTTCCTCATGTGGTTCTTCTTGACCCTGAAACATAATCACTAACTGGAAGTGTAAGTAAAAGAAAAAACAGTATATAAAAAGCACATGTGTAAAAAGTTCAGGAGCACCTCTGCATTGATTTAAAGGCAAGTTAACATATTTGATGCGAAAAGTAAAATGGAATGATTGAAAGAGTGGAGTGCTTACTTGTACAGCATTTCCTTCTAAATGCTCTAAAAAACCCACTCTGGGGGGCATTAGTGGAAAATGAATAAAGGTAATTTTTCTAAGCCAAACTTTTTTAAGTAGATAGTCTTATATGATCTGAGTTGGCACTCTGAGACTGCTACTTATTTGAAGAAAATTTGAATGTAACTTATTGATACAACTTGCCTGTTTTGACTTTTAGCCTTTTTCCTATGTCTACTTGCAAAATGACACAACCAGAAAAAAAAAACTGAAATAGTGCATGTGGAGCTGAGTCTGCTGGAAAAGTTGCAGCATGTGAGTGATGTGTCTTTGTTCCAGTTTGGGGTTGGGCAAAGGCTATAAATTTCCTGAGTGAAAACATTGTTGATTCTTGAACCATAAAATTCATGCCTAGGCACCGCGGCTGCTTCTGCTCAGCAATAGCATGTGGTGATCTCATAAAAGAAGGCAGCGATGAGTCACATCAGTCAGGCTGGCATGTTGTTTATGTCTTTGGAATAACTTGTGTCCTGTAGGGAGAGGTCTCTTAGAAAAGGTGCATCCAAACTACCATGCACTGTGATTATAGCCAAAGCTGTGTATCTAGGTGTTCATCCTTCTCATTCCCTTGGCTTTTGTAAAAAGTGGAACTGTATTTTCCCCGTTAGCAGCATAAGATTCATGTCAAGTGCAACACTTCTGCCTTTTTGAGCTATGCTCATCTGGCATCCTCCAAAATGCGAAACAGCTTCTGTTGGGTGTCTTGGCCTCAGAACTGTGGTCCAGACCGTAACCTTCAGTAGTGGCTTACGTGGTTTCTGAAAACTTCTAGCCTTTGAACTGGAAAATTAAAAAGCTAGTAAACGACCTAATTTTAGCACTAGGCTTGAAGCAGGTCCAAACTCTCATTAAAAAAGAAATACAGGGACCATTTGGACTGCAGACTGGCTGCCCCGCAGCTGCCGGTGCTTAAAGGGGAGAAGTTCTCTGATTGTGCATGGCTCCTCTTCCCCAGTGTTTCCCAGGAAAGTAACCTGCCCCTGTTTTTTTATAATTTTGTCAATTTAGCTATTGCTGAAACTTCCCATGCTGGGCTTTGAAAATGTTAGTTGAAATGGTTCATCTGGTTCTGTAAATAAAGCTAGGAGGAAATGTCATTTCGCTCATGTTAAACTCCTGGTGACCTTTCCTTTGAAAACGGTTCGTTGCTCTCCATCTCTAAGGCCTTCAAAGTGTGAGCCTTGCCAGGAGGTCAGCTTTGGGACAAGGATGTCTCTTACTGATCTCCCAGTTAAAATTCACCCAAATGTAGCGACATTACGTGTCTTTGAACATCTCCAACTCCATGACCAGGGAGAGAAGGGGCACGCTGATATTTTGGAGCTTGTAGTCTGGTGAGGCCGAGATTTGGCAAGGCTAAGAGGCGCTTATCACTCTGGCAGTGTGAAGGAGGAAATGACCTGAATTATATGGAAGCTGCCTGGAAAGTCAGGGCAGGGTTGAAAGATGGGATTTTGAGAACTGGGACAAGAAGAAGGTTGAAGGAAATTTCCTGGGCAAGGGCGATTGGGACTGAGATGAGAAGAGACTGAATGATTTTCAGCAAAGAAACTGGGGCCGGGGTTAAGTGAGGTGGGTTTTTATGACTACTTGAGCAGGGAGAGTTGGGCCAGAGAAAGTGTAAGGACTGAAGAATGACATTTGGGGCAGATGCAGAAACATGAAGAAAATTAACTGAACATCATGTAAATACATTCCCTTGGCGAAGGCTCTGAGAAAGGCTGACAAACTGTTTCAGTTGAGGATACCTCAAATTTGAAACAGCCTTTCAAAAATGAAACAGTAATTTTGCATTTAATGCGTTCAATATCTACCCTTTTTTATATTTTGTGAAGCCAGAAAATCTTTACAGGCAGAACTTCTGCCTTGACCAGCAAATGTATACAGTGGCCTGAGACATTGTCAACCTTGGTGCCTTGTTCCTGTCTTTAGACCTTTGCGCCTGACAGTCTGTTGAGAAGAACAAGGCAAGGCAGGCTGGTAACAACTATTCTTCCTTTTGCATGGTATTCCAGCAACACCAGCTGTTCGGCTTTGCTAAGGTGCAGGCATCAGCGAGGAGGCAAATTCATGCCTTTTTGATGACTGTTAAAGGGCATAATAATAATAGGTTCAAGTTACTGCCAGGCAGTAGACATCAGAATTCAAACTTCGCTTAACAAAAATACATTTAACTGAACAGCATTACTGCATGCTATTAAACAGATTAAATCAGTTTTCTCCATAAAATAGCTGAGGGATGTTTATTTTCATGCACCCCTGCTGTACAGCTATATGCTTCAGAGCAGGTTTTTCCTCTATTTTTGTCTTCTGTGAAAACTGGGCAGAAACGTCAGGTTATTTTTCCCTTGTCCTCTGGGTGATCACAGAGGCGAGTCTGAGATTTACACTAGTTATTGGAAATCTTTTCCAAGTAGGCTGTGCTAATACAAATTTTTAAAAATATTATGAGTGCAACAGTCCAGTTGGCCATAGATATGTCAAATTAAGCCATAATAAATATAAAAGTTACTAAACAGGCACCGGAGAGAGAACCAGAGGGACCAGAATGAGGGATTTTTTTAAAAAATAAAAAAAGACAAGCTTTTATAAATTACCCTGATATTTTTAATGCAGAACAGAAATCTTAACCACTCCTTCTAGCACTAAAGATACCGTGTTCTTTGGGTTAGAATAGATTAGTTTTCCTTTGTTTTTTAAAGAAATATTGCATGCTGTAGCCTCATGCTCACATAAATGGTAGAGATGGAAAAAGCCATCTTAAAAAGATGAGGGAGAGTGCAAAGAGGCATTTGTGCCAAAAGGAACGAATATTTTTAACAGTTTTATGTTGCATTGTTTGTCTTTGATGGCTCCTAAAATACTTTTTTAAGTCAAGTAAATGGCCATTCTTG